AGTCATAGATCAGAAATCTACGCGAAGTCCTGTGGGTCAATTTGGGCAGATATGAGTGATAGGAGAAGATAGAAGTGGATCAGGTTGTTCTGGGCATGTATTTCCATATTTCCGACTACGCCTCATGCACATGGCTGATATGAACATCAGTAAACGTGGCTGATATGAACTTGTTGGAACTTGTGTACCAGACGACTCCGCAGCTTTACCCTGAAACCCAGCGGTGGGCAACGTCGATGAGCTCGGTGGATCTGACCGCGACACTAGTCGTTGAGTGCATAAGTCGAGTTGGGTGAAAAGATCTGAGCAACCAATGCATAATACCTCGCATAAAGTATCCTGATGCTCGAAAAAAACATTAATAGTGAGCGAATGTCACAGGAGAGCAACTTATGTAAGAGAAAAAAAACTGGCTCCGCAAGGTTATCCGGGCAACGCCGACCCCTAGTATATATAGGAAAGGTTTTCGTAAGTAAAAGCACCAATTGAATCAGCATAATCCCCAGCAAGAACTCACCGGTTTACTGATCAGTGCTTGATGTGTCACAAAACTAGGCTACTCGGCCTATCAATATGACATCATAGCCTGGGAGACACAGTTGTGATACACGAAGTAGGTTGAGGCTGCGAAGAAGCACAAAAAGGCCCGGTACACGCACCTTTCAAACTTAGATCAAGACACCCACGACCTCTCCAGCAATTTGTGCTCAACACCATCCACCTCGAGCAGAATGGCAGAGGCAGAAAAGCCCGCCATTCGAATCACCACGACTACTCAAACATTTAAAGGTCATAGAGATCTTATCTTTGGAGTTGCAGTCTTCCCCGATAGACGCCGTATAGTGACAGCCTCGTACGACAAGAATCTTCGTCTGTGGGACTCGGAAACCGGTGTTGTATTGAAGATAATAGAAGGGAATCGCTCCGGCATACGAGAACTTGCAGTATCAAAAGATGGGGAATGGATCGCAAGTGGTAATAATGATGGAGAGGTCATAGCCTGGAACAAAGATGGCGAATCCCTCACCCAGCCCATCAAAGTCCACTCCAAAGCGCTAGGGTCGCTTGATTTTTCCCCAGACAGCACATTCCTGGCAAGTGGCTCATGGGACACCACAGTGGAGCTCTGGAACACAAAAACATGGCTGGTGGAAGGAGATCCAATCAATTGTGGGTCTGATGTCCGCTGTGTTCGGTATTCGCCGTCTGGTGAATATCTTGCCATTGCAACCTTGAGTGATATTCAAATATGGAATCCACGCAAGAGAGAGCGCATCGCAGAATTCCAGGGTCACTCTGCGTTGGGAGCATGGAATACTACACTTGCATGGACGCCCGATGGCAAACAGCTTGTCTCAGCTGGTTCTACGGGTGATCCCACCATACGGATCTGGGATTCAGCAACCTGGCAGCAGGTCGGTGAACCCTGCAAGGGCCATGCTAACTTTATCTTCATGATTGCCTTGAACCCTACCGGCACCCTTCTCGCATCCGCATCTAGAGACAATCAGGTTCGCCTTTGGTGCCTTTCGGATCGACGAACCATCGCCATATTCAAGCACCCTGATGAGGTGTATTGTGTCGCCTTCTCCAAGGATGGCAAGTACGTCCTGAGTGGAGGAAGAGATGCGATAATCTCAAAGTGGGCAGTACCTTTGGTGGAGGACATTCTCAAGGACCAGGCATCGGATGTGAGATTCTGTTCATTTTTCGTCTCTTCTTTATCTCATTTTCTACAAGGATGCCGCATCACGGAAAGACACTTTGAAGGAACAAGTAGCAGATAATGTGAGTTCCCATTCTTTGCTCGTCTCCTTGCCTGTTGATCCTCAATCTTGATGCCAAGGCTCAACAGTCTGATTGCGAGGTTTGTTTCTGGCCTTCATTCTTATCACACAATCTAACCATGCGTGGTTCAGATCCTCGCCATCGACACGACAGCCCGCAATGCATGCGCAACTGGGGACTTGCCTACTGCTGACCGGCTACTCACCCAAGAGATCAATGCTGATGTCAAAGATTACAATTCATATGCGAATCGCTCGTTTGTCAAAGCAAGAAATTCAGACTGGGACCACGCACTTGATGATGCACTGAAAGTGAGTCGCACCGTTCCGTCGTGACCTTTGTCACGCAGACTAACTTATATGATGATATAGAGCATCAGTATTCAGCCATCCTTGATGGGCTGTATCTCCAAGGGCATCGCCCTCTGTGAAAAACGACAGTTCGAAGATGCAATGAAAGCGTTTGATATCGCGTTCATGTACGTGGACGCAGACTTGAATAAAACTCGTCTTCTACTCTTGATCAAGGTATGTTCATTGTGTCCCACATACCCGCTATTTACACAACAGCTGTCAGGCCATCGCCCTTTTCAACGCAAATCAACGTGACGAGGCAATTCTGCGGGTTCAAGAGCTAGCCACTACTCGTCCCAATCCAAATTCTCTTGCCTGTGGCATCGTGGAAGTAAGTGCTCCTGACACAGTCAACTTCAGATTCGTGCGTCGATGCTAATTTTGCGAACCTCGCACTTCAGGCTTATCTACACGTCCAACTAGGAATGAATGCATTAGATGATGCACGACACAACGAAGCGGCTGACCACTTCACTGCTGCCGTGAACACTATCAATTTCTCGTCTATGTCGGCCGTCCATTCTAGATATGATATCTTCGTGGTGGTAGGTTCATTGCAATGCAACTCAACATTTTCCACGTCCGACTGTCCTTTTTCTAGTTATTCGGGTGGGACCTCAAGTCCTTGTGGCAAACTGCACACCAGAATTGGTGCAATGCGCTCCTCCGGGCAGGTAGACTCCCAGAAGCCATCGAAGCATATCGATACATGATGGATAGGGCCGATGAGGCTACAAAAGCACGCTGCATTGATTGGTCCACTGGCAAGTCTTCATGCTGTCGACCGGGTATAATCCTCAACATCATGTCACTTAGCTTTCAAACAAGATTGCAGCATGCTCTATCCTGCTACCGGAGCGACTGACCTTGCTGCCGGTGGAGACGATGCCCTCGCTGCGGGTAATTACGACAGGGCTATCGAGCTTTACTCTGCAGCGATCCACCTTGATTTGGCAACCGATACAATCTTCGCAAACCGCAGTAAAGCGAGGTTGGGCAAAATGCTATGGAACGATGCACTTCTTGACGCGGAAAAGGTGTGATGACAGCTACTGTTTCGTACTCGCCGCTCATTTTTGTGATGCGCAGGTCATCGAATTCAACCCCTCATCTTACTTTGGATATCAGTTGAAGCATGAGGTACTTCATGGCGCACACCGATACGACGAAGCCATCGAGGCGTTCAAAATCATGCTCTCCAAGTTGGAAGATGCTCCCGACACGGAAGCGACAAGTACGTCCCAAATAGCACATCCATCAAACATAGTTGACTCCTTGTCCAGACTTGCGTCGACAGTATGCTAGTCCATCTGAAGCAGAAGGTGCCATTGAACATAAGATCAAAGCTCAGCTCGAAGACGCCCCGCATCGTCTAATCAACACCTCCACTGGTCGCTTGTGCAATCGTGAAGTACAGATCAATGCCTTCAGAATGAGCGCAGAGTACAAAGAACTTTTATCATCCACAATGAAACATGCAGACCTTCAAATGGAGCGCATTCGAGACGTGGTGGCGATGTATTTTCGTTATGTCATGTTATCGCATAGGTGGGAAGGGATGGAGCCGTCGCTGCATGACATCCAGAACAAGGTGGTGTACGACTTGGATCCAGTCGGCGGGATCCCAAAGTTGCAGTCATTCTGTAAAACTGCTCGTGACATGGGGTATCGCTGGACATGGATCGATACCTGTTGCATCGACCAGACTAACAATGTCGAAGTCCAACAATCGGTCAATTCCATGTTCATCTGGTATCGCCACTCAGCACTTACCATCATATACCTGTCGGATGTTCCACCTTCATCGCAGCCTGGAGCACTCGCAAGTAGCGTTTGGAATACGCGAGGATGGACAGTTCAAGAATTCTTGGCTCCAAAATTTGTCCTATTTTATCAGAAAGATTGGTCCCTTTATCTCGATGATCGTTCTCCCAACCACAAGGATTCCCTTGCGATCATGCAGGAGATGGGACATGCGACGGGCATAGATGCACAGTCGCTTGTTGCCTTCCGTCCGGGGATGAGAGACGCCCGGGTGAAACTCCAATGGGTGTCGGCTCGTGTCACCACGTGGCAGGAAGACATCGCATACTCATTGTTCGGTATTTTCGGCGTCAACCTACCTGTCATTTATGGAGAGAAGAGGCAAAAGGCGCTTGGGAGGCTCTTGCAGGAGGTGGTAGCTCAGTCGGGCGACATCAGTGCCCTGGACTGGGTGGGGCAATCATCCGAATTCAATAGCTGTCTGCCAGCCGACATCACTTCATACAAAGCTCCACCATACACCCTGCCATCTCTATCCGAAGATGACATTCAAACGTCGATCTCGTCGCTCCGAGATGTCGCAAGTGTGGATTTCATGATGTCAATTTATGCCCTACTTGACGACCTGAAAGCGCCTCGTTTCGCGAACTGCAGGCTGCATCTACCTTGCATCGCATTTCGCGTCACAGCAGTCAAACGGAGTCGCGCTCAGGACCAAGATATATATGAAGTCACGGCCGACGGACTTCATGACCTGCTGATCACCACGAAGGATAAGCTGACTCAGTTCTCATCACCACGACCCACTATGCAGACGTTCTTGCTTGTTCGTCCGTGGAATCGTTATCTTCTCGAGCTTCCTGACTTTGCGGAGCCGTCTGGCTTGGCAGAGCTGCTTGACGTTGATGACGACATGCAGAGCGAAGAAGATTATTGGTCTGCGCCCGGGTCTCCGTTGCAGAATTCCTCTTCCTCTGGCGGGTTTCCTGAAGCACAGGAGTCGGTTGATCCGGAACTGAGCGATCGAGCCTTGCGATTGACTGCTCGCCTTGAACAACCTTTTGGAGCATTTTTGCTAGCGCAGCAGCGTGGTGGAGAATACAAGAGGGTCGCGTCGGATCATGATATTATTGCGCAAGTTCAAGACCTTCCTTCTGTTCCGGAATTTTCGGACATGATCAAGACGCTAGAGATATTGTAGCGGCGTGCATTTTGGGTGTTATCTACAACGCACAGCTGCCGGCATGTTGTCCATCACGTCATGCTGTGTCGTTTCTTTTTCGCGGCTCTATCCGTTTTTTGTGTCATGCTGTCACTTAAGTTGTTGTCCTTTTTATCATACCACTATGGCGACCTCTGCTTCATTTCACGGTGTTGTTGATCTTTGGATCGGAAGCAGGTATCAGATTGGCAAAAAGAATTACTGGCGTTATGACGCTTTCGTCACGACTTCAGAACTGGATATGTTCGAAACAACTTCGTGTTCACATTTGGTGCGAACACCGCGTCTGCGGAAGACGGAATCTATCTATTGGATGCACGGACCACTATTGGTCCTATCATTGACGATGAAGGAGCGTTATCGAGAGTAAGAACGCGAAGAGACACGTTGTGCTTATTTCCAGAGGCGAACGAAGAGCAAGACTAGGTATTTCCTGACTTGCTACTGTAAATACATTTAATGGCCTTCGTAACTCCATTGGCGACGTGTATAGTCCGACAAAAATATTGTTTTCCATGGATGATATGAGGCCTTGAGGGCTCCAGTGAAAATTCCCTTGAATTCATTGTACATACAACCTTCAATTCACACAATAAGTACTCGTACATTTTACAAGTCTTCCAGCCCTGATTTCACTACAGAACGCTCTGTAGCATTCCGTAGCACAATCTAACCCGCCGACGGGCCATGAGCCGATCTTCGAAACGTCATCAAATAACTATATCCGCCTTATTCAAAATACCTTCTTCTATTGCTTTTATTTCTACAGGTTCGATCATCAGCAACACTCTATATACCACAAGGAAGGAACTCACGCATGGCCAAATGGAGACTGTGGAAGCGCGATAGAGCCAGATTACCTGTTCATCGAGATGAAATTGATGTGCCCATAACAAGAACGACGCAAAATACCATTTGCGAACCACAGACCATCATGCCCGCAGTACCTCCACACTCCCGCAGATTGTCCTTCTTCATCTAAACCCCAGACCCTGGTGATTTTTGATGCGGTTTCATCTCCACAGACTTCGCGCATGAAGTCTCGGGGATCGCCGTAACTGTAAGCAATTATGAATCCTGCTCGTCAAAGTAAAATATTATTATACCCCGTAGCAAACACTATGATATCTGCCTGTAGCTCGGTGCCATCAGCAAATCGAAGGCCGTTTTCCGTGAAGGACTCAATTGCGGAACCGTTCTTGATTTTAATATCCCCGTCGATAATAGATTTACTCGCTCCGGTGTCTGGAAGCTGTTGAGAGACATCTTCGTTGTGCATCAGAGGTACACCCACCGATGTAGTAGCCGCCACCGCGCTCCAGGTAAAGGGACATACTGCCTGCTCCATGTATGCCAAGATTGGTCTTAAAGCCAACTTTAGCTAATCCATCTAGAATCGCCCTGCAATTGTGATTAATGCATCTGGAAGTGAGCCTTCGAATCGTCCAACATACTTGTCTGTGGTCTCAGCAACCATAGGAACCATACGTTGATGCAGCCGCCTAACAACTGCCCAAGGAAGCGAGGTATTGTAAGTATCAGCCAGCTCAGTGGGGAAGTCGTCATTATAGACAGCTAGGCAAGGAAAGTCAAGCCAGGCTACCGACAACCACAGGAACAATTACCCCCTAGCATTGCTGCCACTGACTCCGTCGAGATCACGAATGTCGACGATCGTTGATACCTAGTATTCCGTGAGATATGAAAATGACATAACTTGAATCAAAGAACACACATTGTGATGTCGACACCGTGACTACAAAAATCTTGGGCAATGTCATGTGCTGATGAAATATTTAGACCTCGTTCGATACGAAAGATATGGCAAACCAACCAGAATTGCAACAGCCGACTACGATTGCCTTTTTACCAATGTGATTAGCCGCGGATTTGAACTCTGACGAGTGCACGGCAGACCCTTTGAATCTTGCCTGCGTCCATGAGTCACATTTCAATCAATCCGAGTGTTACATACCTTCCCAGGGATGTTGGGAACTTTCGGGCGACCGCCAGATCCAGTGGCAAAAACGAGGTGCTTAACGGTCAGAACCCTAGTACCTTTACCGCCGCGATTGACTTCGACAGACCAGGTTTTCGTGCTATCGTTCCAAGATGTCTTGGCGATCGTCGAGGCCGTCCAAACGTCGAGCTCAAGGAAACTTGCATATGCTTCCAACCAGTCTGCCAGCTGCAATAGCTGGAATCAGTGAATTTTCATTATGTGGGTAATATTGTACTTTTGCAGCTGGGGTGTAGACTGGCCATGTCGGTGGAAAGCTACAAACCGGATTACAAAAGAATCAAAAGGAATTCTGACAAACCACTCACTTCAGGTACGGCGTTTGGTTGTACCCTGTAAATTTGTTAGTCAATCCCTTTCCATAGAAGAAAAGGCACGAACAAATCGTATCATGCAGACAAAGAGCCTTGTAACGGTCTCTCCACTATGAAACCGCCCTCAAGCCATTAGCTATATTTGAATACCAAAATAGTGATAGGACGAACGCTATCCCCAACCCGAGGCTTCTTATCGATGACAAGCGTGGGTACACCAATGTACTTTAAGCGTGCCGCGGTCTCCAGGCCACTGTGCCCCGCACCGACGACAATCACTGTTGGGTCATTGTTTGGGAACTCAGTCTCTTGGCGCCGCTTCTCTTCCCAACTGCCATGATCAGCCTCCCTGTTTCTGAGGGGACCGAGCTTCCGCAGAGTTAAGAAGTGCTCTCGAAGGAATGTGATTGCACACCTTTTGAGGGAAATTGGTCAATGAATTAAGACAGGTCAACAGAGTGTAGGCCTTCCACTTTGAATCTGGAAGGGGAACGAGATAAACGACTGCAGTACCCTTGCCATGCTTGGTGGTAAAACCAAAGCAAAAGCGCAACCAAACAAAATCATGATAAACTTTTTGCAGAACAGGTTCATTCAAGGGCTCCTGTAGGAGACGCAGTTCATCAAGACCCGTAGCAACGAGATGAGCATCCAAGAGTTTCTTGATGTCCTTCCTTCCTTCGAATGTCCTGAAATCCCACGTCAGTGCGATCACGTCCTTCCAGAAGCCATCCTCGAGAAAGAGGTCGACAACAGCTGCGGTATCACTTTGAGTTATTGCAGCTGAGAAAGTGTTGAGCCACTCGGTGGCTACCCCGGACGAGGAGACATTGGAAGGATCAGTGACTCCAAGCCGATCCAGCGTGGGTAAACGTTGGGGAAACGAGTCAGTCGCCATACTGAAGCAGAAAACTGATATATGTGCGGATCGATGGTCTGAGATTTAGAGCGGCACCATGAACCATCCTCGTTTTTAACTTTAATTGAATCTGCGAGTCCAGGCTAATATTAATCCCAAGGCTCCAATTGTTCTACGATTTTCGATTAAATAAACACAAACAGTAGGTAGCCTTACCGGATCCACAGTCTCGTGTATACTGTAAAATGTGTCACATGTACAGTTGATCTCATTGACATAGGACAAATTTGAAACGGTCGGCCATCCGCCAGGCCTGCCTCCAGGGTCGACCCAGCCATTTGGACAGACACAGATCATTTAAAACGCTGAGCAATGTATTATTCTCGATAGTGCACCCCTCTCTGTACACTGAATCACTGATAGACGTTGCTTCTGGGATCCATTTGATTCGTAAACTCAGAACAAGAACAGAGATCCTGTGCCATTCTCGTCATTTCCTGGTAGTAGTGCTACTGTGCCTTTGATGTTAAACGGTCAAAGGCTTTTATCAAGCTCATCGCGAGAGCAACACGTCGTCTAAATGTATCTGGGCCCCTTGCAGCTCTTGCTTGGATTTTCCCTGCTGGCTGTCCTCAGGACAAGTGTGTGCGCTTCCAATGTCGCTATATCGCCGATTAAAGAGCTTATGAGGCCCAGTCTATTGCATATCAACCCATGGCAGCGGTGAGCAGCAGTGTCATAATACACAGCTTCACAGGAGGGTAGGCACAACACAAGTCCGCACAAAATACTCATGAAAACGACTGTCTTTTGTGAGCTCCGGGTGAAATGTGGTGAGCATATGTCGTCCCTGCCGTAATGCAACGATACTTTGTAAATCGTGTGGACTGGAGGAATCGCCTTGGTCATGTAATGTCAGCTTCTGTGACTTTGGCACAAGGTTGATCGGTAAGCGAGCGATGACTTCTATCGGTGGGTTTTCGGTGGATGGATGTAAGGCTAAGACAACCTTTTCAAAGAAAGCCCAATGAATATAACGATGCGGATGAGCGCAGAACACGCACAGGAGCACGAATGAATACACCCATAAAAGGAGTGCTTGGATCCAGCAGACCGTCTATTGAGAGAGGTGCCTCGAAAGACTCGACCTTGGCGAGACAGTGTCAACAGACGAAAAATAGCAAAGTATGATATCCGTACTTGTGAACCCCAACCATTCCGAGCTATGGTGACTGATATTCCACCGAGAAGTTCCTGGCCACCTTTTTTGGTGTTCTCAACTGCCTGTGCAAGGAGAATCGCCCCGGCACAAGTTCCCCACACGGGCTTCTTCTGCAGAAACGTCCGTAAAGGTTCTAAAAGCCCAGAGAGCTTGGCGAGGAATGCAATTGTGGTGGACTCTATCGGATGATATGAGTGAGTTTAGATAAAATGACGTTTGTCTCACCCCCTCCGGGGATTATCAGAGCATCACACACTGAAAGATCTTCTGCAGTCCGAACAAGAACAACCGAGATTTTCTTCTGGCATGAGAGCTTTTGCAGGGCAGTCTGATGTTCTGCAAAAGCTCCTTGAAGAGCTGTATTTTCCAGATGAAACAATATATACTATGCCAGCACACCATACCTTACTTACCTAGTATGCCGATGGTGACGTTGTTGTTGACCTGGACGTGGGTCATGATGAGAAAGAGAGACACCGGAGCGATTGGTTTACACGTCACAGAACTCACGGAAAAAACTGATGCGGATTCCAAGCGGAATGATACGGATCGAGTCAATATTTAGAACATGTGCTCTTCGAGGAGGAGAAAAATTGGCGGTTGGCCGACGGACGGCCCGCGCGTGGGACTTTTTTAGGCATAAGTGATGACGCGATGACTAAGACCCGAGGTCTTTTTCACTCTCACTGCAACCACCATCATGTCTGAGCTTGATGCTGACCTTTATGGCGGTAGATATTCTCAACGCTTGCGAACTGTCTAGTTTTTGACCTAACACCTTTCTAGATCTCTACGGCAACGATGAGCCTGAATTTCCAACTTCAGCAGAAAACGGCGACCAATCTAAACCAGAAGAGTCTCTTCTATCGGAAGCGCACCCTCAAGCGCCTGCTGCTTCCGCTGTGAAGGTTCCCCAACCGACAATATCAAAACAGCCTTCACCGGTCGTGCCGGCCGCCGCCATCAAAGCACCTGTAACAGAGACCTATCCAGTACAGACTTATGAAGAATACGCGTCGACTAATGCTCAATCTGGACCTCCTGCTTATGCTACTCCCACTACACAGCAAATTCCGACTTACCAGCAACCTCAGTCCGACTATGCATCAGACTTGGGCCAACATGAAGGTGTGGGTAGTTATGACCGCCAACATAGCCACGAGAGGAGTGTACGGCCCTCGGAGATGAAGGATGAAGGGTGAGTTGTATAGGACAGTTCTACTAACTTCCTATAAAAATTGGGTCGTGCGTTTTCGCTGGGAAATACTGGATCTTAGTCGTTGACGGTCAATAATGCCGACGTAGTTGCTCGGTCGTCGTCACGCTAGCTACTCAGCTATGTCGACTAGGACGACTAGTCTAGCTCTAGCATATTCGCGTTCTCTACGTCCAGTCTAAGCTAGGCTAGCCACAACGCGAACAGACAGTAGCGTCTTCCCTTCTCTCTTCTGTCATAACACCCCCTGTCTCTACAGAAACTAATAACGAGCTTTGCTTTTCATATCTTACGCTCAATTACCGACGTCCGAACGTATTCCTCGTGTCTTCGACCATGTTGCCTCGCGCGTGCGACACTATCTATAGCAAGATGTTCATTGGCGGTCTTAACTGGGACACAACCGATGGTACTTACATCATTATTACTTGCTCTGTACCGTTCGGTAGTACTAAAATAAGGTCGTTCGCGGCAGAGTCCCTCAGGAATTACTTCTCCCAGTTCGGTAAAGTAGATGCATGCACGATCATGCGCGATGCTGCTGGCCGGTCGAGATGCTTCGCCTTTTTGACCTTTGAGGACCCCGCGAGCGTTAATGCGGTGATGGTGCGGGAGCACTTCCTAGATGGCAAGATTGTACGTACAGTGTTGTATCTAGCATTGGAGTTTATTTACCCGTTATCCAAGATTGATCCAAAGAGAGCAATACCTAGACAAGAACACCAACGCGCTACAAAACTATTCATCGGCGGTCTTGCGGGGAGTGTGACGTCCGAGTCGATGCGAGACTTCTTCTCGCAGTTTGGCAAGGTCATTGATTCGACGGTCATGTTAGATCGTGAGACAGGGAGAAGCAAAGGCTTTGGATTTGTTTCATTCGAAGACACAAATGTCCAGCCCTTCCTCGGTTTTGGGAACCTAGAAATCGATGGGAAATTGGTATGTGACGAACGTGCTACATCTATAAGTAGATTCATTCATTTACGCACTTTATTTAAGATTGATGTGAAATTGGCGCAACCGCGTTATCAGCGTGACAATTTCAATGAAGACGGTGGTCAGCAACAACAGTACACCAACAAGGGCGGGAATTTTAATGCGGCAGCTAACGCTATGCCCGCGGCTCCCTCGGGCAACACTCCATTCGATCCCCAGGCTCTAGCTGCCTTATACACCCGCATGTTCCAAATGGCAGGCGGAGGTGGCATGATGGGAGGTATGGGTATGGGTATGAATCCAGGCATGACTCCGGGCATTAACCCGAGTATGATGGGTGGCATGGGTGGTTATGGAGGCGCAGGCATGGGCATGGGTAGAGGTGGCATGGGAAGCCCCGCAATACCAGGTGGTATGGGTGGAGGGCCAGGAATGGGTGGTGGTGGAATGGGGCGAGGGGGTCAGGGTATGGGGGGCGGTGGTACACCTACAGGGCCTGCCAGCCTAGGTCCGAATGTTCCACGTGGTCCACGAGGAGCACAGGGTGGTCCGAGTGGTCCTGGTGGTCTTGGCGTTGGCCCACAACGTGCGGCACAACGAGGGCAGCACAGTTACCATCCCTACGCACGCTAGTTTTCATGACATCGTTGGATTTGCATTGCAACTAACTTATCAATTCAAAAGCTGGTCCGTGTACGCATGAAGATGGTGGACCTTTCATATGCATTTATAGGCAGTACTTTAGTTCGTCATTTTCGCTTTTTAGTATGTTCAGAAGCCGTATGGAATGAATTATTTGTGCCTGCTGCATATGCATCAGCATTAATGTATGAATTTGAATTCTTTGGGAGGGTATCCTTCCTCGAATCCCTCTTACAAATAGATAACAACAACACGAGGCACATTGCTGATGTAAAAATAATTAGATCTCCAGCTAAACATCTCTCTAACTATCAGTTCTTCGGTTGCAAAACACCAATACTCACAGAGGTCGCGATATAACTCGAACCGTAGGCAGGGCGCCCACTGTGTGCCCTCAAAATGCCTCCCCATGTGGACGTAGTCATAGTCTTCTGTGCCATCCGGAAAAAGGCAGCCAGCTTTTCTAAAGAACAAGTGCGCCAGAATGCTGTCAAGGCAGAAAAGCAGTATTCTAAACTCATTAATACGCTCACACGAGCTGGCCTTAAAGCTGTAGGGAGGCGTGGAGAGAGCCAGGGCCAATTACTCGTAATGGTGACTTGCCCGCAAAATGTGCTTGCGAAACTCATTCATTGTGAACGGTGAGTCTCACAATGATTTCCTTCTCCATTTTCTTATGCATATCAGACATTCGGACTTCTTATATGGTCTTCCAATGTCCAAGTTGCCGTCCACGAGCGACTTTGAATCGGCCCCACTATCCCCCGCCGACCGTATTCGTTTGATCCTCGGATTCATTTCCTCTACTCCCGAAGATGGAGGTTTGGGTATCATTCCAGGGCGAAAAGAGTGGGATCTCGTGGAGTCTGTAATGGCACTTCACGATCATGACTTCAATGATCACTGGATACGCCTATGGACACGGCATCGAATAGCGAGCGTGGAGCTTGAAAAGATTCGAGACCAGGTTTGTCTCAATTAGTCTCGTCCCGCATACATCATTATGACGAAGTTGTCCTAGTTTGGAGATTCCGTTGCGCTTTATTTTTTTTTCCTCACAGCATACACGCAGGCTTTGATATTTCCGGCAGCACTTGGCACTATCTATTATCTCTGGGGGAAACCCTACTCTGCTTCTTACTCCACTCTACTCTTGTTGTGGTCAATCGCGTTCGTCGAATGGTGGAGACTCCAAGAGCGCATCCTATCAATTAGATGGTGCATTCGTGGCTCGTGGCGCGTGGAAAAGCGGAGGGCTGATTATCTCCCGAGCTTCCCCTGGTGGAAGCAGGAGATGCGCATGATGGCTGGCCTACCAGTCATACTACTCTTTGCGACTATCCTTGCAGTTATGTTGACAGGCATATTCGTCCTGGAAGCTTTTGTGACGCAGCTTTACAAGGGTCCCGGCCACACATATGTGGTAAGCTTACTTATGCCTGCTGCTTACTGCCTTTCTGAGCATAGTTGTTTCAAGGCTTTTGCTCCAACGATACTTTTCTCACTCCTTGTTCCTCGGTTACTTGCAATGTACCAGAAACTCGCCACGAACTTCACGGATTGGGAAAATCACAAGCATCAATCGAGTCATAGCTCATCTCTTTCATTGAAGGTCTTTACACTCTCGGCGATGAATGCTTATCTTGGCATTGCGCTGTCCGCATTCGTCTACGTCCCTTTCGGCGAAAGTGTCATGAACTTTGTCCAGTCCTACTTGTTCACAGGTGGTCATCGTGCGTTGGCCTTACTGGAGAAATATAATGTCAGTTTCAACGCCACCTCTAATTTCGGTGCTAGAGGAGCCGGTGGAAAGAAAATCAGTGCGGCCGGACTCAATTTATGGGAGTCGGATAGGAAAAGCGCGCGACGCATGTTGAATTCATCGAGGCTTCAGGACCAGATGTTCGCTTTTTCGGTCACAAACCAAGCCGTGGATACCTTCACAGCTATTGGCTTGCCATACATCCTCCGTGCGGTGGAGTCATTCCGTAATGGGAAAGGTTTTCGGAATGGCAATGGGAAGGGACATGGGAAGAAAAAGCGGGTGGCGTTTGATGATGAACCTGTGGGGCATGATGCACACGGCAGAGAGGAGCGTGAATTCCTCGAGCGTGTTCGGAGCGAAGTGGTGCTGCCAGAGTATGATGTGTTCACGGACTACAGCGAGATGGTGACACAGTTTGGCTACGTCGCTCTTTGGTCAACAATATGGCCACTTGCACCGGCGATGGCACTCTTCAACAACTACATTGAAGCGCGCTCTGATGCGTTTAAAATCGCGGTGCACACCCGACGACCGACGCCTGTTCGAACGGATACGATAGGGCCGTGGCTCGAGTCTCTATCATTTTTAACATGGTTGTCGGCTCTCACGAACTCTGCGCTGGTATACCTCTTCCGTCCCCCTGATCAACAAGAGAATGAGCTGGGGACAATGGTGGCTGCGAATGCGACTGATGAGTCGCAGCATCTGAACCATCACCCACTTCCTAGTCTTGCTGCAACCCGGGAACTTTTGATGTCCGCTCTGTTGATCGCGTTGTTTGCATCCCATGGCTATCTCGTAATGCGTGCCGCCGTCCGACATGTCTTGAAACATGCCATATGGACAGGAAGTAAGGAGATGAAGGAGGCAGAACACGTGGAGCGGGAGATGAAGGAAAAATACCTGAGTAGCCTTGGGCAGTGCACGCCTGATGAAAATGTGATGTTGGAAGCGACGGACGAGAAGGATGAGTGGGCCACCTTCTGGACAATAGACGAGGGAAAGGATGATATAGGGAAGATGCTGAAAGATCTTTGAGTTGTGGGATTGTGGGTCGATGCATTATGTTTGGTATTGGACTTGGGCATCTCGTTGGTATTTTTTATTTTGGCGGGTTTCATCGTCACTAATTACGTTTGATGTTGCATTGACGTTCGTTTCCCTCGCGATTCCAGAGATGATATCATGTAGATATATGGGCAATCAGCAGGCGATTTGGCCTGAATTGGACTAGATGAATCTTTTGTGGATGCTGGCAGACCAGTAAAGACAGCGCATGGATCGTGCCAGTGATGCGTTTCTTGTGCTTGGGCCTCGTTCCATCAACACATTGCAATCGAACGACATCACGCTCACGTCTTCATTATCCAAGACATGTCTTTTGTTGTCGGTCAGTCGGGGCGCGCTGTGTCGTGTTAATGACCTCAGCTCTTGAGGGCGGGACTAGATTCTTAATGATGTCTACCCCGGACTGACGGACTGGGGGCCAACAGGGTGGAACGTCAGTCATACATACACTTGCAACTTCGTAGACCGAGCTACTGGTACCAAGCATCCTCGGGTTCCTAAATAGGGACCCCAAGTTTCACATTCCGAGCTCCCATCCACAAAATCCCGACGTGGACAGCAATAACCTGAACATTGCACGCTGTCAATGGTGGAGCCAAAAGATGAAATTGGAAATCACCTTCTCATCTTACGCACGAGCTTATGGAGCAGCAAAAGTGTCAAGTTGACAAGGGCTGGAGCGCCTGAACAACTGTGGCCCGGCGACCAGACTGGGGAGATTGGCATGTTGAAGAAGCGAGCAGTATTGGAGAGATGATCGAATACCTGATGGCCACATCAGCGAAGCGCCAAGCAGATCCCGCCGTGGCTGATGGTGAGCAGTTGCAGTGCGTCTTTCAGTGGCTTCTTCGCGATGTCCTCAAACAATGAGTCTTGATGCATGCTGGAGTTTCCCTACTAGTAAGGCAAAGTACTGAACGTCAGGTGTGAGTATACGAATGTGGTGCACCCAAGACACGCCTGTGAAGATTCTCGAACCGGGTGCAATCGAGAAAACAAAGCCTCAATCATCTAAGACATAGAGGAAACGGTATATACGGAGCATGCTATGCGGTGACGGGCGTTGGGGTGGAAGGACAAGAATACTAGTCATGGTGGCCGACTCGGAATGGACACGAGGCTGTTAGTGCTAGGATGACAATGCGACGTGTGTGTAAACGCCACATATCTCATTCCAGCTGGCATGGGTCATGCAAGGCAAAACAGAAAGCAGAAGATCAACCGGGTGAAGGAGGGAAGCAAGACTGGGGGTGTTATATACTCACAGCTGAGCAACACGCTGGACTAGCTTGACAGAGGGAAATCGGCTTCTTGGTTATATGTATTTTGATCTGAACATTTTGATGACCGCATCGAACCCTTGATCATAGATATGAATACAAACACAAGTTCTGCTAGGCACGTACATGAGGTAGTGTGATGTGCGGCAGCATGCCGCACTACCCCATTTGAAACATCTTCATTTTTATAACAACAAACAAACAAATCCCTCTCATAGCTGTATTTACGTGCTCAGCGTCTTGCACGGTCATCAACGGCCTCCGAGCTCGAACATGCAATCCGCGTATGCACACATCTCCCATGGTAAAACATCGCCTTTGTCAGAAACTCCTTGCACATAAAAGCGCAACCCTCTCCCGTCCGTCACGTTCTTCGGCAGAATCGTTGAATCCACATACAATCTGTTAGCACGCCCATCTAAGCCTGTTGTTCCAATGAATATCGCGGCCGTGGCTCCCGCGACACTTCCCGAGAGGGGGTGCGGGATAACATAGATATTGAAGTAAAGAAATGAAGGGAATCGTTCTTTGGTACTGTCTAGAATCCATGTAGGATTCGGGTCTTCTGGTGGGGGTATCATTCGTAACGCGAGACGTGGAAAAAAGGATGCGATGTCCCAGGTGAGAAGCCCACTGAAACCGGTTGAAGGGGAGGTGAGGGGCTTGGTGCTTTGGAATTTAGCCCATAGAATCCCGGGGGTTCCCTTAGAGACGCGGGCGGTGGGAGAAGACGGATATACAGCAAGTTGACCCAACGAGACTGAAAAATTAAGTGGCTGAGATGGATCTTCGGCGACAAAACCGATGATCAAGCCAACGGCAATTAACGCATTAGCTGTGCCGGGGGAGAGTGAGAAGCTAAGGACTTGTCTGGTCCAACCGTTCTTAATATAAGATTGGGTAGATGCCCCAACATTAAATTCTGGGAGATCTCCGCCACCCGCCATCAATGGCTTTACAAAAAGTCCAAGGTCAAGGTCGGTCCCCTCACAGGCGGCAGTTTTGTAAACAATGTTAACGTCATATGACACAAGGGAAGTCACATTCAACGACTGCACAGGGAGCCAGATACACCGGAAAAATGCATCATCAGCCGTACTGCCAGCACAAGAAATGGAGATTTTAAGGGTATTCCCTCCATTCCATGCGTCGCTCATGTCCAACCTGGATGACGCTAAAGGGAGTGGTTCTGGACGATCATCGTTCTCCCACATCACAGATGGTCGTGGCCACACTAAATTCCCAAGGGAACTTTGTTTGTCGATATCAGTCCAACCGTCATCTGTCTGAAGAACATTCATGCCTTCGACAAACCACGAACGCCCAACTCCTGGCGAGAACGATGTGCAAAAGACCAGCTGGACAGGGTCAGGAGGGGTGGCATGTACAAAGAATGACGACACTGGCTCGAACGCATCGTGAGGACACTCAGGCTCTCCACGACGTCTGGGAGCATCAGGCACGGGGACCACCTCTTGAGGGTCTGCAGGACCGATCCATAACTTGCGCTCATATTCCCACCATTGATCCCAGTTCCATCCTGGCTTATCTTGTTCACTCTCCCATGTCCACGCTTGCCCGAAAAGGGCGACACTCAGGCCGAGTGATTGGGGATCGATATGTGTCATGGCCCTGTAGGAACCGAATCCTCCTCCACCGTGCGATCCTCGGCCCCAGACATCAACACCTGTAAAGATGCTCTGAAGAGATTTGGTGGAGGAGATGGATGACCCCTTCGCATCATCATTGATGAGTACTGGATCCAAGCTCATGAAATACTGGGCAGTGAGGGCTGGAAAGGATGGCGGCCACTTGTGTAATACGCTTGAGATAAAGGCGGCGAATGTGAACACACACTTACAGTGTAATTCGTGAAGAACGCATCAGACGAGAGGAAAAATGGCAAATTCAGACTGTTCAGTCGATCCTGCCACCTCAGTTGGCCGTTGAATACCACACTGTCGTACCTATGATTTTGATTTGAGTCAGGAACATTTGTGATTGACTTTTGATCCGCCTTGGCCTCACCAAATAGCTTGGGCATGAGGACCAACTTTGGTTACGAGCTCGGATCTCAAAAGTAAAATCCACCCGGCAAGTGCCCGCGCTTGTTCCGGGCCCCCTTGAAGCGGACATTCAAAATTCAGGAGATACCCATCAAACCCGCGCTGACGAGCAAGCTCCGCCAAAACCGAGGCATAGTGTCTTGATATGGGGATCGATTCTGTACGTAAAGTCGGGCCTGCGCCTGCCTGAGGAGGTCCAACTATCAGCTGGAGGCAGTCAGCTTCTCCAGATCCCTCAAATATTCTGAAATGGGATAAGTGAAGTGCGGGCTATCTAACAGTGATTCGTAGAGCCTACATTGTTCCGAGCATCTTAACCCCTTGCCGATGTCCAGCAGTGATCCATCCTGATGGAGGAACAGTAACTCTGTGATGCGAGAAGCTGCCGCAAGTGATGAGGTGTGATAAGATAATCAATTAGGTCAACGTACTACACGAATGTGTCACATAAAGGCCAAAAATTGAATGTATAGCACAGGCCAGAAGGAGATTCTGTATACCCTCCCTATGGAATGGAAGACTGAGTCATTTCATTACGGCTACCGTGACTGATATGACATAAATTGACCGAGTCACCTACTCACTTTATAATCGTGGCACACCTTTGATAGGCGAATTAGTGGGGTATCGTGGAAGATCATGAGTTTTTGTTCTTCACCAAAAGCTTCCCTCTCCGATTCAGTGATTCTGCAAGCTGAGAACGGGCCTGATACTCCAAGACAGCCATCAGCTTTGCGTGAGGGAGACTAGCCCATTGATCAAGCTCGGCCAGAGACTCAAAATAGGGTGCCTCGTCGCCAACAAGTTTGCCATGTCCAGTTCCTCGCAGAGGCATGACGCTCACGAATTCAAGCCGGCAGTGGTAGTTGATGTCGATGATTGAATAAGAAGAGCGTGGGAAATAGCCGTGGGGTTGTTGTGTATGATGAACTATCCTCCAAACCGTTCTTTTTTTTCCGTTTTTATGACGGACATGTCTGAGGAACAACAGGACAGTATAGTCAATATCGAAACACCAACGGAAATCGCAACGAACGACACCGAGTATATTGGAGACAAGACTCAGCCAACCGAAGAGATTCTGAATGCTCTGAATGCTCTCAACCAGACAACCGCTCAAAACGGGCACGAACAATCCCCAGCTCAGCAAGGCAATGTCAAGCAAGATACTCCGAGTCAAGAAGCTCCGTCTGAATGGCATGTTCTGCGCGAGAAGCTGCGTGAGCAACCTCATGATCCAGACGGCTGGAACAAACTTGTCGACCTCGCCGAGACGCGCGGTGAAATTGAACAAATAAAACAGACCTATGAAGCTCTGCTTGAAGTCTATCCCAACACGGTATGCACCTTCCAGCCTTGCACTCTACAGTCCTTGACATGTATCACGAATACCAAGTCGTCCGCTCAAATTGCCTATCTCAATCATTTCTTGAGTCCCGGTCTTTTTCCTTACGCCGAAGAACTCTTCCGAAGATTCCTGAGATCTTCTCCTCTAGTTGACCTCTGGAAATTCTATCTTACCTACGTCAGGTCAGTGTGATATGTGCACTATAATCCAGATGCATTGAACTACTTGCCCAGGCGAGTTAATACATCACCGGCCAGTCGCGAAGCTGTTAGCAAA